GTCTCTATTGTGGAAGCGGGGAACACCTCACGTTCACGCTGGGTGGTTCGGCGTGCCTGACCAATTCGGTTCTAGGCCACTGTCTGAACAGGCTTGGGCGCAGACACTTTGGCCCAACCCTGAAGCTACTGCGCACATGCAGGCTAGACCACTTCGATAGTGGGAAGTGCCTTAGTGCTTGCGAAAGATTCCTTCTCATTTTGCACATTCCCAGGCTGCTCATTTCATGCACACATGAAACTATTGGATTGTATATTTCCATGTTCATCCTCCCCCTCCGACCTGCAGTCTGCCTGCCGCTGCTGCTCCTTCACCCGTTCTGCTAACCGTGGAACATTCCCTTATCTGGGCCGCAGCGTGGCTGCGGTGGGTCCACTTGTACTATTAAAAACTGCAAAGGGTCCATGCTTCCCAGTGGGCCCAAGGAAAATTGCTGCCACGCAGCATTCCCACCAACAGGGAAAATTGGTGTCACGCTGCAGTGACGAGGTCTCCGCGCAGAGTGAGGAGCAAAACGTTTCGTTAGCGAAGGCACGACATCGCTGGCATTGGCGCGGCAGTCGCGCGACTAGGGAAAATTGGTGCCACGCAAAGCGCACCATTTCATCTACGCGAGAAAAACGCCCCTGCAGGGTGCTGGGAGCGAAGGGCAGTTGTCTGTGAACAAGTTCCAGAGGCAAGCACAAAGGTAGTGCGGGGCCGCGGGAACGTCTCGCGAACGGTCAGTGCGATGTCCCTGCGCGGTGCCGGGAGTGAAGCGCAGCGGTCCGTGCACGTGTTCCGGATGCAAGTGCAGCAGTCGTGCGAGACTCTCTCTATCTCTCTCTCACACGCATACACAAAGTATATTTCCATGTTTTAGCGGTAGATTTATTCCATTTTGTTCATCCAATCGATGGAAGCAGCGTGAGGTCAGCATCGAGGTTGAAGACTTACCTCTTCTCTCTGTGTGTCTCTCTCTGTCTCACAAAAAAAAAAAAAAAAAAGTGGCAATGTATATTTTCATGTTCTAGCGGAAGATTCATTCGGATTTTGCTCATCCTATGGATGGAAGTAGCATGCCATTGGCTGGAAAGTAGTGCATATTTCCATATTCCAATGGAAAATTCATTCCGATTTTGCTCATCCTATCGATGGAAGTAGCCTCTCTCTCTCTCTCTCTCTCTCTCTCTCTCTCTCTCTCTCTCTCTCTCTCTCTCT